CATTCTTTATATCCCCTAATTTTGGCAGGTGGTGTTTTCTTTTTCATTTGTCTTCAAGTTTTTTCTTCCTTTTTTTTTAAAAAAAAATTATTTTTTAGTTGATGGTTAATTGCTTTACAGAATTTTGTTGTTTTCTGTCAAACCTCAACATGAATCAGCCATTCAAATTTTTCCTTAATTTCCCTAGTGGTATCTTTTTTATCTTATTGGTTCTTTATGAGTCAGTTGTTTAATTTCCAAATACTTGTGATTTTCTAATTTCTATTACTAATTTCTAGCCTCATTTCCATTTTAGTCAAAGTCATAGTCATAAAATTTTAGTCAAAGTCATAAAATTCAATCCTTTTCAATTTATTGAGAGTTGATTTGGCCTAAAATTTGGTCTGTTGTGAAGAATGTTCTATGTGCAATGTAAAGTAATATACATTCGCTGTTGTTGAGGGGGAGAAAAGATATTCTAAATCTTTTAAATGCCTTCTCCAGTACTACTAAGGAAGTCAGTTATGCCCTGCCCTTGAGGGTTGAAACAATGGTCAACCTCTCTGGCTGGCTTCTCAGTGAATTTTTAGGTAGATCATAGCATACAACCTTAATTTTTTGGAGGACAAGATCCCTGTTCCCCACATGGCACCAGCAAGCTAGCCAAAAACATGGGCTACTGTCCCCATAGCTGCCTTTTACAGAGATGGGAGATGATGAATGGTAATAGCCAGCCACTCTGGAAAATGCCAGAATTCACCAAAAGTTACTGACCTCTTTCTTCATTAGGTGCTCGCTTGGATTCTACAGGCATCTGATTAGACTCCATAATTCCAAAATGGTTTGTTCAGATTGTTTGCCAGCCCAGTAGTTGTTTGGGTGGAGGGACCATTCCTGGATCTTCTTACTCCACCGTCTTGCATAATGCCCCTCACACCTATGTATTTAATTTTAATAGTTGTAATCTTTTGAAATTAATAGTTATATAATCTGCCTCATGCATAGCATGTTTAATGTTATTATATGTTTACCTAACTTTTTGATGTTACAAATAATATAGCAGTCTATTTTGGGGGGAAAAATGTGGACAGAGTTGTAGATTCTGAGTAAGAAATTACATTTAATAAATCATGTTCTATTTTGACCTTTTTAGGTACCTTTTCACCATCACTTGCCCCGTAACTTCCAAACTGACCCTCTGCTTCCTTTTTCACTTTATCTTCCAAGTCACAGAAGAAAAATTACTGGAGAATGGTGGTTGCTAGGGGTAGGGGAAAAAGCGTTGTGGTTCAGTTGGCATAAAGTTTCAATTAAGCAAGGTGATAAAGTTGTAGAGCTCTGCTGTAATTTTGTTTGACATTAACAATACTGTGATATACATTTAGAATTTTGTTAAGAGAGTAGATCTCATGTGGTGTATTCTTACCACAGTGAATCTGATGGGCTAGAGTCCATGGGGTTGCAGAAGAGTCGGACACGACTTAGCAACTAAACAACAACAATGCAATTAAGAAAAATGGGGAATTCTCTGGTAGTCCAGTGGTTAGGACTTGGTGCTTTCACTGCTGAGCCCTGGGTTCAATCACTGGTTAGAGAACTAAGATGCTGCAAGCCGGTTGATGTGACCAAAAAGAAAAAGAATTAAATTAATAGATAACATTAACAAAATTGCTGGTGAAGTATACCTAACAATGGAGTTGTCTGCCAGCTTGAAAGGGAAAAAAAGTAAGGTAGCATGGTGGAAGAAAGTATAACAAAGAGCTGAGTCTGCTGCTTGGAGGCAAGGAAAGAGTACATAAGGATCAGGAAAAACGACATAGTAAGGACTGATTACTGAGCCAGGAGGAAACTTGGGGTGAGAGGGAATCATACACTATTCCTACATGGTTTTCTGTGTTTAGCCACTGCTCCCTAAAATATAATAAATAAAATAAAATAGCAGGTTAAAATAAATTAGGGATGAAACAATGTGATTTCTGACTGTACTGACATAAATTCCCTTAATAGCCAGTTGCACATGAGCTAATTCATGTATTAAAATTATTTGTAGCAGAATAGTACCGGTAATTTTCTACTTTTTCTATTCTTGTCCTGCTTTCTCTCTTTCTGCTCTTAGCATCCAGGTTTCAGCCTTCACTACCTCTCGTTTGTTCTGTTATCTTACAGACACGTATACCCTTCTGATTGCTGTTCTAATTAACTTATTCTTTATAATGCTACAAGAACTGTCTTGAAGACAAAATCTGATCAGGTAGTCTCTATCATTAAAACCTGTTTCTCAAACTCTTAGTGTGTCCAAATCATTCTTTATGGTGTCTGTTGCCATGATTTTTTACTTTGACTCTCTTGCTGTATGATAGAGATTTTCTTCATTCCCCATTTTGGAAAGTATGCTTTTAATTTTCAACTCTATTGTGGGTTATCTTTAGGACTTCAAATAACAAATTTTTAAGCCATTGTATGTGAATTTATCAACTTGCCCCAAACTTTTATTAGGTAACTTCTTACTGTAAAAGTTGAGAGTATTCATTTATGAATTTCCTTTCATGTTTCTCTTGCTTCTTATTTTCATCTCCCAATTTTTGTGAGACTAGGGTGTGAAATACATACCATCTTAACAGCCCATGGACTGAGAAGCCTGGTAGACTACAGCCCATGGGGTCACAAAGAGTCAGACAGGACTGAGCAACTTCACTTAACTTTTCTAACACTTTGTAACTTTGTAGTCTTTTTCAGAACTATTAAATTTACATTCCATCCTAGCACCTTCAGTGGTAAAGAATCTGCCTGCCAATGCAGGAGTCATGGGTTCAATCCCTGGGTGGGGAATGGAGTAAGAAATGGCAACCACTCCAGTATTCTTTATTGTAAAATTACATGGACAGAGGAGCCTGGCAGGCATGCGGTTGTGAAGTGTTGGACACAACTAAGTGACTGAACGCGCATGCACACTAGCACCTTGGTAAATTGTCACATACATTTATGCGCTTAAATGATTTTATTGTCCATCTCTTATTTTTTAATGCTATTGTCTCTCTGAGTTCTTTATTTTGGTGTAGCAAAGGGTAAGTCTGTATGGCTTATAGTGCACTAAAGTTTTTTTTTCCTGGAAATATAGTGAAACCTTCTGATCATATTTAGGTCCTTATGTCAGGAAATTTGTTATATCTTTAGTTGCATTTTGTCTTGTTCTGTTGTCTTTCTCAGAGACTGTTCTTGTTGTTAACGTTTATTCTGCAGCTATATTTGTCTTACCTCTTTTTTCTTTAACTCTATGTGTTTTCAGTATGTGAGTTTTATTTTTCTTGAGAATATAAAGCAGTTCTTTCTGAAATTTTCTTGTTTCATCTTTCTTTGGATATATGGATGTAATTTGAATGGTTATGCCTTGGATAGCCTAATAGAGCTTCTCTTTGGTTTCATAGATGGTAGACCTTTAACCCCACCCCACCTGCCCACAGCTTCAGGATGAGCTGATTTGTTACCTTGGAGGTCTGGGACTTTATAAAACTTTGTGTGGTGGTAATTGTGCTGGTGCTGAGTTTAGGGGTGAGATTGATCCACTTGTAATTTTCCTAGCTTTCTTTTTGGTTAAAGGACAGAAACATAAAACCATGTCTATTACTTCTGCCCTGATACAATGTTGTTTGGCCACCAGAGAGAGAGGGGAGCTTCAGCTCTGACATTCTACATCTTTTCCTTTATCACATCTGTGTCCCCATCCATCAAGTTGGAGCATGCCTGGGAAAATTTCTCAGCATGCTATGTATGGATTCTGGAGTTGGCCTTCCAGATTGGACTAACTCTAAAAGTATCTGCATGATACTTTTTAGTAAAGTTTTATGGTACAGATTTGAGGTATTTTCGTGGTTTGGGGATATTTTAACTTTTTAATTTTTTTTAGTTATAGGGCAGAATAGTCATCTGCAAACCTACAACTATGCCATCATCTTTTCCTGAAGGTCTCATAAGTACCACAAAAAATTTTTAGGAGTAAAAAAGGCATGTAAGCTGAAATATTTATCTTCAGTCTAGCTATGGATAAGTTCTGTAGAAAAATATAAAACCTTGCACAGTGTTAAGGGGTTTGCTTCCTCTAGGATACTCTTTAAATGAGTAGTATCTGATATGGCAAACTTTCTTATTTGGAGTTTCTATGGAGATGTCACCATTTTAGAAGTCTCCTAAGATAGTGAACCTGAAATTTCTTTAGTATTGATAAGAAATCTTGAGAAAATTGATTTAAAATATAGATATAGATTTCTGTATCCTCTTCACAGAAAATCTGAGTCAGTGGATTCCAGAATCTTTTTTTTAGCTAGTTTACCCTGAAACAGCTGGTCACAGTTCAACTTTGAATAATGCCATCCTGAGTGTTGGTCAGATTTAATTACGAGGTAGATATTTTAGGTAACTAGGGCATTTCAGGCTGTCCCATGGAGCCGAGTGGGTGACAGAGGCTTTACTTGGTTTCTAGAGGACGTGTTACTAACCAAGGAAGATATTCTTTTCATTGTCTTATCTTAATTAAACATGAAGCTCAATTTCCCAGACTTTGGGATTTTTGTAGATTGGGAAAATCTTCGCTGAGTGAAGATTCACTACACACACATCCACACCCACACCCACCCACACACAGGAAATATCATACAAGTTGCCAGTTTTTTATTTTGCTGAATGGGGACATTAAAAATAAATCAGCAATGAAAGGGCTTTTTTTAGTACCTCTAACCACAACCACCAAAGATGTAAGTAAGTAACAGTGTAGAGAGAACACAATACTTTCTAATATAATCTTCATAACACTGATAGTCTTTTAAATTGAATACATGTAAATCCATGCAAAACCCACTTTCTTTTCCACTTTTAAAAGAATTTTGCTTTAGCTACAAATTAATGAATACTTTCTCATGGAGGGCATTTAAGGACTGCTCCTTAGTACTGAATACAGTGCACTCTAAGAGGCGCTACCTGAATACAGTGAGTAGACATCTATCTCATGTCCTCTGTTTTCTTACCAGTTCGGTCCTTTGGTACAGAAGACAGACCAACAGATCGTCCAATACCACCTCGAGATGAAGTCTTTGAATATATAATATTCCGTGGGAGTGATATTAAAGACCTTACTGTTTGTGAGCCACCAAAACCACAATGTTCTTTGCCTCAGGACCCAGCTATTGTTCAGGTAACATTGTAAATCTGTCTTGGAGTACAAATAAATTTCATACACATAACTAGCCTTGGATTTTACCTCCTTGTTTTAGTCTTTTAAATTTTCTCTATTGAACATTCATGTAGCTTATTACCATTTTCTAGTTACCTAGATACCCAGAATAACTGGGTGATGTTCTCATCCAGGTTTCTTTAGATGATAAATCGGAACTAAATAGAGTAAGAAATAGCTGAGGGATTAATTTTTTTTTCTTTTTCTGTGCCACACAGCATGTGGAATCTTAGTTCCCATGTGGAAGCCTGGAATCTTAACCACTGGATCACCAGAGAAACCCATGAATTAATTTTTATCATAAGAATTTTCTGATTGCAGTAACAAAGTAGCTAATGTTTATTGAGTTCTGAGTTTGTGAGAAGCACTATTAAAAGCACTGCACATATAATAAGGCAAACCTTACAACACTCTCTGAGCTTGGTACTATAGTTATTCTCTTTTTTGTAAGTGAGGAAATTAAATTAGAGCCATAATTTGAGTAGACCCAGGCATCCTGGCTCCAGAATCCAGGATCCATTCCACTATATTACTCACATATATTCTATTATTATATATTCTATTATTCACACGTGGTTCATTTTACAAACTAGGGTGATGGTGGCTACTCTTAGGTATGATTATTAGGTTTAATGAGAAAAATGCTGAATCACATTATATGTTTGTATAGTGTACATGGAGTGTTATATAGTCAGATAGCACAAACATAAAAGGATTTTAACATATACCGATATTCGATTCTGTAATAAAGTATTGAAAAGAAGATCCTAAGGCTTCTCATTAAGAGAAATTTCAAAATTTGTGTATTTTAATAAAAACAGAAACGTGATGTCTAATAGATTGCAAATTATAAGTTAAAGAGGATGTTTACATTATAGTACCCGTTTATATGTTAATTGGAAATACATAGAAACTCTGAATTTCTACTATAGCAGCAGCATAGGAGACAGGTTAACATAAGAGTATTTTCAGTTGTGGGCATAACTGATTAAAAGCTTTGTGGCCCCCATGTGACTTTCCTCCTGAATCCATTTTCTTAACCAACTTTTTTTCTTATCAGAAGTCTTTGTTAATGTGCGCTAAATTATGCTTGTTGGCTTTTCTAACTTACTCTTTTATGCTGCGAGTTATAAAAATCTTAGTTTTTCACAAAACTGATTGTTAAAAATACACAGAATGTATATGCATTATCTTGCATAGAATGTACCTTCCAGCTTTTAAAAGGAAATGCCTAATGAACACTCCTAAAGAAAATATTAAGTGCTGTGTAAAATTAAAATGGGGAGGGAGAGAAAGTATCTTTTAACATTTATTTACTGTTTTTTCTGAATACAAGATAAGGTTTTTATTAAGAAATGGCTGGGACTTCCATGGTGATCCAGTGGATGAGATTTCACACTCCCAGTGCAAGGGGCTTGAGCTTGATCTCTGGTCAGAGAACTAGATCCTACATACCGAAATTAAACATCCCACATGCCGCAACTGAAGATCCCTGAGAAAATGTAAACTTCTTAAATGAAGGGAGAAAAGACAGGTTCTCGTAGAAATAGTTGCCTGCACCGAACAGGGGATTTTCTCCAGGCACTCTTCCCGACTCAGGGGTCAAGGCTGGGTCCCTGCGCTGTAGGCCGGTTCTTTACTCTCCAAGCCACCAGGGAGGCCCCAGCACAGCAGCCGCGGCGTCTTCAGTATAAACAGTCAGTGGCTTTGCCTGGGGTAGTTTGTTTCTGCATCTCCCTCCTGTAAGTGTAATAGTATACCTCTAACGGTTGAAAAGAATAAAATCAAAAGTGAGATATCTTATGTATGTCAGCACGAGACTGAAACTTAGTACTGTTGCTATAACCAAATTTTATTTTTCTCATATTTTTTCTTTAAACAAAGTTCGTTTACTTACTCAAGTAACTTTTCTTTGGTTCTTTCCTAAATGTGCTCTAAAATGAAACCTAAAAGAGTTCATTGTAGAAAAAAGTATTTATAAATCACATTAAGTATAATTGACAAATATAATCAAATATTGCAGTCAGATTATTCAACTGTTGTAACATTATTTAAATACATGTTGCAAGTTATAATTGCTTCTGTGTCTAGTAATTATAATTTAATAGTTTTCTTTAAAATGTAAATATGCAAATTTATTTCCATTATGTCCATATCGTTTAGAGCCTGATAAGTTAACCCACAGTCTTTTCTTCAGTCTTCACTAGGTTCATCTGCTTCTTCATTCCAGTCAGTGGGCTCCTATGGACCTTTTGGCAGGATGCCAACGTACAGTCAGTTCAGCCCAAGTTCATTAGTTGGGCAGCAGTTTGGGGCTGTTGGTGTTGGTATGTTGTGCTTTTTTCCTTTCTTTCTTTTTCGCAATTTTCCTGTCTTTATCATAAAGTTATATAAAACCTTCCACAAGTTTTCAGACATTGTTTGATGTTCCTTTTGTAGCCTGTTTTTTTTTTTTTTTTTTGAAGACTTTGGTCCTTAATGATTAGTGGTTCTATAAAGGCCATCTCTTAGAATAGTAACTTTTAAAATCTAGGTATAGCCAATTACCAAATTTTATGAATATTATTTTAAATTTACACAAGATCTAGCCATTTAAAATAAACATTTTTTTTCCAATAGGACTGAGTTTTCAAAAAGGGAAATGGAGATAATGCTGTTGTTAAGGAATAGTAAACAACACTGTGGGCTTCCCTTGTGGCTTAGACATAAAAGAGTCCGCCTGCAATGCAGAAGACACGGGTTCAATCCCTGGATTGGGAGGATCCCCTGGAGAAAGGAATGGCTACCCACTCCAGTATTCTTGCCTAGAGGATTTCATGGACAGAAGAGCCTGGCGTGCTACAGTCCTTGGGGTTGCATAGAGTTGAACACAACTGAGCAACTAACATACACACTGTAAGAAAATATAGACAGGCTAGGCTAATAACAGTCCTACTTGGGACTAGAAGACAAAGGCTCTCGTGTACAACTTGATATAATTAGATTAACTTTTTTGTTTTTGTAGCTGTGCATTTTACCTTAAACCTTTATTGATTTCATTGAAATGATCACTTACCAGTTTATTTCACTGAATCACAAATCCAGTTTTCAAGTTTATCTTGAAACTCATCAGTATGTTAACAGAATTTGTTAAAATAAGTAAACTTTTACATTCATATTTTACACTCTTACAAGAACAAATACAATTCTTAGAAAACGTGACTTCGGGTTTCTAATTGGTAGTGGTATTGGTGTTCATTTTGAAACTATTTTTATGTATAATAGGACAAGGCATATGAATAATACATTGATGTTGATAGGCGAAATTTTTACCTTGGAGAAGGGAGATACACATATTGAATGAGGAAAGGTAAGGAACAGTGTTGTGGTAGTGAATGTGAATTGGAGGTATAGGTGTGAATTCATTTTTTTAAAACTGATTATTTCCTGATTCTGTTCATAGAAGAGGCCTAGAAGCAATGATACCCAGTAGCAAAGGACATGGGTAGACCCAGTTCTTGCTTTCTAAATACCTTTCCCCACTTAACAGAATCTGCTGTGCTACTAAGTCACTTCAGTCATGTCCAACTCTGTGCAACCCCATAGACGGCAGCCCACCAGACTCCCCTGTCCCTGGAATTCTCCAGGCAAGAGTACTGGAGTGGGGTGTCATCTCCTTCTCCAATGCATGAAAGTGAAAAGTGAAAGTGAAGTTGCTCAGTCGTGTCTGACTCTTAGCGACCCCATGGACCGCAAGCGCAGCCTACCAGGCTCCTCCGTCCATGGGATTTTTCAGGCAAGAGTACTGGAGTGGGGTGCCATTGCCTTCTCCAAAACGGAATCTAGGCCCCTTTTAAAAAGAAGAAGAAGGAAACTTTTTTTAAGTAAAATAATGCTAGCTAAGAAGTATAAGGAATGGTGGACATAGAAAATCACCATTGTTAACCTCTAGTGAAATAATTAGCAGGGATTATCAGTGGATGCTAAAATCATTGGGTGAATGAAGTTGAAACGATATTAAAATAATCTTAAAGTATCATTGCACAGTTTACTTGTTAATTACAAAGGGAGAAGATGTACCGTTATAATGGAGAAATCTGATGGTCAGTCACCATCTTAATTAATTCGTCAAGTTTGGTATTGGCATAATTATTGATTATATGTCTTCCGGTGTGATGATACAGGGGAGAGGTGTAAACAACTTCACTTCTGGGCATTCTTGCTCAAAATGGAGACTCTAATCTTGAAGAAACTGACATACATTTTCAGAAAGTCAAGTTTTTCAAAGGATTCAGTGTTGTGAAGAAGAGAGGGAGCAGGTCTGTTTTAGACTTGGGAATACTGAAGAAACATAGCATCCAAATGTAATATATGTTCAGATCCCAAGTTTTAAGAAAAGATAATAATAAAGAATGGTTTAGGAACTATTGAGGAACTTTGAGTAAGGACTAAATGTAGGATGATGTTCATTTTCTAGATGTATTGTATTTCTTAGATGTAATGGTATTGTGGTTAACCATATAGGAGAATATGTTTTAGGGAAATGACTTTAGTACTGAAGGGTGAAGAGTCAGATTGATTATAGCATATGTAGATGAAAAGAGAAGTCTGTATATCACAATATGAAGAAATGAAAAAATGGGATAGGTGTGGTAAGAAGTTAGTAGTTGGTGAGCTAGGTGAGGAATATATTGATATTCAGTGTACTCCCTTTTTTTGACACAAGTTTGACATTTTTCAAGTTTTTTGGGGGGTAGTTCTTTCATCTCTAGTCAAAATTTAAATATTTAATTACTTCTTGGATAGGTGAAATAACTTTGGTCCATGTACCTCCTAATCCTACTCAAGGAAAGATCAGTGTTAACTTATCCATGTTAAATCAAGCTATACCCTATGTTAATTATAACTGTTAGAATCCTATTCTGAGGATTCACAATAAGGGACAGTTGCAAATTATTTTATCCTTTTGAGATTCCTTTCACTAAGTTGAATAGTTAGCTAACATCTGGATTATTGTACTTACCCTTTACATTACTGTGAAGTTGCATGACAGTATTTATAAAAGCATTTGAAACAGGGTCTAGCACAAAATGTCTGCATAGTAAATGCTGCTTTTGCTATTCCTCATATCCTGCTCCTCTGGTCAAGAGTATTTTGTGGTGGTGAAATACATCAATATATTCCTTATAAATACTTTTATCTCATTTTTATATTGGGGTTTGCTGGTTTAGTGTTCTTTGAATGTCAAAAGGTAGGTTTTACTTGTGTTTTCCATATGAGTAGACTAGTTTTTGCAGTAGCAAATTGTTTTTGATTGTTTGATTTCCATACTGGTAGGATAATTTGTGGAGTGGCTAATTAAAGAACTATATATAGTATTTAGAAGTAGTTAAATGAGGAGGAGGAAAACTGTAGCATTGATTAAGGTGGCAGATGTTCTTTAGAAACAGAATTAACTCAGATACAGTTTGTGTTGATACAAATTAAGCCAGATTTTAATCTAAGCCTCTTGTTTTCATTTTCTCTGCCTAGTATTCTGATGTAAAGAGGAAGTTTAAATAAATTGGAATTACTCTACTGCTATTTGGGAGTATTTTTTCCATTTTAATTTTCATATATTATCATCTTTTTATAGTTTTATTTGTAGTTTATATCATGAAGTATTAGTACCTTTAATATCTAAAGAGCTTTTGAAAATAAAGATCTACAACCCAACAGAAAAATAGATAAAGACTAGGAACTAACTTTGAAAAAACACAAATGGCCCTTAAACATGGAAAGATGCTTAAATCTTGCTTATGATGAGATAATTAAATCAGCACCACACCATTTCTCATTATCAATTTAACAGAAACCCAGAAGTTTGAATATATTCTGTTTTGTCACAATTGTGAGGAAACAAATACTCTCATACTTTGAAAGGAATGATGCAGTATGTAGAATGAAAATGTTGTTTTTTTTCAGCTGACACTCAGATAGTTCTTACATGCAAAGATTAGGTCACTACTGCCTTTAATTCATAGGCCTTTAGGAGAAATTAATTATCTCAATAAACTGAAGCACCAAACAGCCATGGCATGCTGTCTCTCATACTACTCTTGTGGGCAAGAGGAGGTAAATTGCCTGAACAGTCAGGCAAATGAATACATTTTAGCTACCTAAATAATCAAAGCATATTGGACAGTGATTCTCTTAGGTCTCTAGTGTTTTGTACAGATTAATTTTTAATCACTGAGCTTAATGAACACTTAACTTGCTTATGAACTTTATAAAGTTAGTATAAACCAGGAGAGTGTTTCATGCATTAAGAATGACAGACTAAAGATTATTAAAGATCTACTTTGGAATTCCCTGGCAGTCCAGTAGTTAGGACTTTGTGTTTCCCCTGCAGGGACCCATGGTTGGGGGGAAACTAAGATCCCACATAACATGTGATGTGATCAAAAATAAATAAAAGACCTATTTCAGTAATGTGTAAAGGAATTGAACATTCTGGTTAAAAGGCAGAGATCATCAAACTGAATTTTTTTTAAAAAGACCCTCTTATGTTCTAATGAGGTGGATGAAACTGGAGCCTATTATACAGAGCGAAGTAAGTCAGAAAGAAAAACACCAATACAGTATATTAACGCATATATGTGGAATTTAGAAAGATAGTAACAATGACCCTATATGTGAGAAAGCAAAAGAGACACAGATGTAAAGAACAGACTTTTGGACTCTCTGGGAGAAGGAAAGGGTGGGATGATTTGAGAGAATAGCATTGAAACATGTATATTATCATATGTGAAATAGATCACCAGTCCAGGTTTGATGCATGAGACAGGGTGCTCAGGGCTGGTGCACTGGGATGACCCTGAGGGATGGGATGGGGAACACATGTACACCCATAGCTGATTCATGTGAATGTATGGCAAAAACCACCACAATATTGTAAAGTAATTAGCCTCCAATTAAAATAAATTTTTTTTAAAAAAGACCCTGTTATATGATATTTATAAAAGATGAAAAAGAGACTCAGATGTATAGAACAGACTTGTGGACTCTGTGGGAGAAGGCGAGGGTGGGATGTTTCAAGAGAACAGCATCGAAACATGTATATTATCTAGGGTGAAACAGATCACCAGCCCAGGCTGGGTGCATGAGACAAGTGCTCGGGCATGGTGCACTGGGAAGACCCAGAGGGATCGGGTGGAGAGGGAGGTGGGAGGGGGGACCGGGATGGGGAATACATGTAAATCCATGGCTAATTCATTTCAATGTATGACAAAAACCACTGCAATGTTGTAAAGTAATTAGCCTCCAACTAATAAAAATAAATGGAAAAAAAAATAAAATTAAATTTTAAAAAAAGATGAATTAAAAGAAAGTAAAAGAATAGAAAAAGGCGTGGCATACCATATAAACACTAATAACAAGAAAACTATGTTAGAAAAATTAACATCAGACAAAGCTGCTTAAAGGTCAGAAGTGCTGCCAAAGATACAGAAGGATTCTTTATAACAGTACAGTGGGAAGTTCATCAGAAAGCTGTAACAATCCTAAATGTGTATGTGACTTTTACAAAATAGTACACCAACACCAACAATTTCAGAATATAGATTCTTTTCATGGAGAAGGAAATGGCACCCCACTCTAGTATACTTGCCTAGAGAATCCCGTGGACAGAGGAGCCTGATGGGCTGCCATCCGTGGGGTCGTAGGGAGTTGGACACGACTGAAGCGCCTTACCATGCATGCATGCATGCATTGGAGAAGGAAATGGCAACCCACTCCAGTATTCTTGCCTGGAGAATCCCAGGGACAGAGGAGCCTGGTGGGCTGCTGTCTACGGGATCGCAGAGTTAGACACGACTGAAGCGACTTAGCAGCAGCTGCAGATTCTTTTAAGTAAATATGGATCAATCAATGGGATAGATCAAATCTTGGTCTATAAAAGAAGTTACATTAAATTCAGAAAGATTGAAATCATCCATGGTATTTTCTCAAACCACAAAGAAATTAAGTTTGGAATTAATAATAAAGATAACTTGAAAATCAATGCTCTAAGCTACCAGTTTATTAAGAAGAAAATTAGCCCAAAAGTACTAGAAAGAAGAAAAAATTTAAAACAGAAAGGAAATAGAAACTAGTCCCAGAAATATATATATATAATATCAACAAAGCCAGAAATTGGCTTTTTGAAAAATTTCATAAAATTAATAATCCTCTAGCAAAACTAAACAAGGGGAGGGGGCTCAAATACTGATATCAAGAATGAAAGGGTAGACATCACTGTAGATCCTAAAAGGATAATATGAAGATATTGTGAACAACTTTATGTCGACAGACTTGTCATTTTAGATGAAATAGCCAAATTTCTTGAAACTACAACTTTCCTAAACCAGTACAAGAGAAAGTATAATCTCACTAGCAATCTGTTAAAAAAGTTGAAACTAATATAAAATCTTCTGTAAAGAAAATTCTAGACTGTTTGCTTTACTGGTAAATTCTACCGTTTAGGGAAGAAATAATTTTACCAATCTTACAAACTCTTTGAGAGAATAAAGGAGAAGAACACTTCCTAACCAGGTAATGAAGGCAAGATAAGATACCAAAATGTAAGTGAAGTTATTACAAGAAAATAAAATTACAGCTAATTTCCATAAACATACATATAGAAATCCTCAACATAGTCTTATCAGTGGAAGTCAGCAGTTCATAAGAAGGCTAGTACATAATGACAAAGTTTATCTCAGGAATGCAAAGATGTTATAACACTTGAAAATCATTTGTAATTTACCACATTAATGGAATGAAGCAGAAAAGCTGCAATCCCAAGAGATACAGAGGCAGCATTCAGTAAAATTTGATACTCATTTATCAACAACTAAAGAGTAGGAGGGAATTCCCTGATTTGGTTAGTGGCATGAAAGGCTCGCATGCATAATGGTGGGGTAGTGAAGGCTGTTTCCTTAATGTAAGGAACAAAGTGAAAGCAGAATTGTATCTTATTGCATGTAGTGTTCTTCTAGAGGTCCTAGTCAGTCCAACAAGGCAAGAAAAAATAAAAGATTCAGAGACTGGAAAGGCAGAACTAAAAATGTCATTATCTGAAGGTGGCATGATTGTGTGTATAGAAAATGCAAAGGGATATTAAAACCACTAGAATGAATAAGTGAATTTAACATGGTAAGGGACTACATGGTAAACACACAAAAATCAACCAGATTTTTGTATTCGGAATAGGCAGATTGACAAACTATGGCCTGTGGACCAAATCTTGCTAACCTCCTGTTTTATTAGAATACAGCCATACCCATTTATTTGCATGTTGTGGCTGCTTTTACACTACAGGTGCGGAGTTGTATAGTTGTAACAGATCATGTGGCCTGAAGAGCCTAGAATATTTTATTTACCATCTGACAAATTATAAAATTTGCTGATCTAGAGTAGATTATTGATAAGTGAAATATAAAATGCAACGCAGCTTATAATAGCATCAGTAACATTAGATACCCAAGAATGAATATAAAAAAAGATATTTAAAAGCCTCTGTAATAGCGATTCTCAGTAGAGAATCATCATTTCATCCCCCTCAGAGACCAGGGTTGCTACTTAACATCCTACAATGCATGGGACAACCCCTCAAAACAAAGAATTGTCTAGCCCGCCATGTCAGTAGTGCTGATACTGGGAAAACTGCTCTTCAATAAAAATGACAAAACATTGCTGAGAGAGATTAAAGTCTACATAAATTCATGCTTATAGGTTAAAAGATTCAATATTTCTATGGTGACACTTTCCCCCCAAATAACAAATTTACAGGTTGAACATAATCTTAGTAAAAATCCCATCACACTTCAAAAAATAGAAATTAACACATTGATCCTAATATTTGCATGAAAATACAAACTCTATAATAACCAATACACTCTTGAAGAAAGAGGAAGTTTGAAGTATATGCTGTTTCAAGATTCAGGACAGGGAATGATCAACAATAGACAAACATGGGTAAAGAATAGAGGGTTTAGAAATAGACCTATTTAAGTGCTGACTTAAGACAAAGATGCCAGTGCAGTTCAGTGGAAAGGAGGAAATCTTTCCAACAAATAATGTTGCAGCAGCTGGGTATTTATTTGGAAAAAATTAACATTGATCCCTCCCTCACCCTATGCATAAAAGGTAGTTTGAGATAAATCAGTAGCAGAATTGGCATGAAGGAGGTGGGTGTTATATGACCAAGAACTCAGAAAAGAGATGGAGGATATAGAAGAGTTTTCTAACCTGAGGGCAAACAGTGGGAGGTTGAGTCAGGTGAGAAAACACAGAGCAGGATGGAGGTTGAATATGCATCATCAGAGTAGTCTATATCTTGGTCATTACCTAGAAATACTAGGGATAATAAAATGGTTTTAGTATTTACAGAATTACTGAGAGCACTAGTCTCAACATTTCTGGGCATGTTGTGGGAGATTATGTTAGGCCTCTCCTTAGCTGACTGGGGCCATAGCCTGAATGGATTACAACTCTTAAGGAATCCCATTCATTCTTACCATCTGAGGTGCTATGATAAGTTCTGCTGCCCCATTTTAAGAGGGATATGAACAACTAGAATTCATTAAATTAGGGAGAAGTCAAAGAGGCAAGACTTAAAGAATATGTGAAGGTAAGTAATAGTTGAAGGAACTAGAGTTGCTTAGCTTGAAAATAAGATGCGAGGGACATGTTCATAATGTTCAAGTAATTTAAAAGCAAATAGTTAAACTTCTGTTGTGGAGTAGACATGGAAATAATGAGGGAAGAGGTAGGCAGATTGGTGGGGGACGGGGGCGGTTGCTTATAAACTAAGGCAAATAATTTGAACTTTTTATCTTGAAGACAGTGGAAAGCCCCCAGAGGGTCCTAAGCACTGTAGTGATATGATTATGTTTCTATTTCATAAAAAATTATTCTGAGTACCACTTTTAGATTTAATTCAGAGGTGGGGAAGGAGGACTGTTGAAAACCTATGTAGATTAAGTATTAAGAGGTCATCGCATGTGGAAAGTGATTGATTCATAAATTCTGAAGAAATGTAGAGAAGCTTGACATAACCTAATACAGCAAAGAGTTGAGTCCTTTTCAGGGATTTTTTTCATTCTCGTATTATCAGAACTTCTTGTCGTTGCTTTAGGCAGAATAAGCCCCACAATACTGTCCTGAGAAGCATTAAAATGGACTGGAGTCCATTGTCCATTGGAAATGCTGGAAAAGCTCTTTGTCGACCCGTCTGCTGATTTGGCTATTTATACAGATATTTGGTTTTAAAATAATTGAACCTTCATGTTAGTGTTGAATATACCATTTCTGCTACTTCTCTATCTGATGTGCATTCTGCTGTCCTACCTGCATAACTGCTCAGGACAGTATTGCATATGTTACAGAAATCATTTGCATCCAAAGAAGCTGAAGTACATATGGGCTTGCTTTTATATGTATATACTGCCAAAAATTTCTCAGAATTATTTTTGATTCAGTTTCATTAATTTCTAATATTAATTTGCTCAAGTGTTATGGGGAAGGACACTTATCATCACTAAGATGGTATATTACTTTATATAATAGAAAGCTTAAAAAAATTTTTTTTTTTAATTGTCATTAAAAATTTTTTTCTTAAAGCCGGAAGCTCCTTGACATCCTTTGGAACAGAAGCATCAAGCAGCAGTGCCCTCTCCCAAAGTAGTGCGGTTGGTTCTGCCTTTACACAGGATACAAGAGCTCTAAAAACACAGCTGTCTCAAGGTAAGCTGTTTTTTCCTTCAGAAATTTCCATTCTAAATTTCTATGGTGGTTTTGGTCTTTCTTTGAATGGAAGAGCTTTTGCAGCTTGTAAGTCACGTGTATAATTTCTACTTAGCTCTTTTAAAATTGTCATCCAAATAAGTACACTCTTGAATGACTTCCACTGTTTAGACTTTTCGTAATTCTTAGATCATAAAATGGAAACAGTGAGCACTGTTTGAATTTTTTCTTTTTTTAAACAAAGCAGTTATATTACTTGTATATGGTGGTTGAGTCACTAAGTCATGTCCGACTCTTGTGATCCCATGGACTGTAACTCACCAGGCTCCTCCATCCATGGGATTTTCCAGGCAAGAATACTGGAGTGGGTTGCCGTTTCCTTCTCTAGGGGATCTTCCTGACCCAGGGATCTAACCCCAGTCTCCTGCATAGCAGGCAGATTCTTAACTGGCTAAGCCACCAGGGAAGCCATATATAATATGTACTTGTATATAATACTTAAATATTATAGGTAAGTCTCAGACTCACCACTGAGGATGAATTCTCTATGAATTTGAAATAGTAGCTGAGGAAACAAGCTATTCCTTATGCTGTTGCATCTTTCCTAGCATCCTCGTAATCTAGAGCAGTGGCTCTCAGTGTGGCCACCTAGAACCAAATCATCTAATCTGGAATGCTTCTTTAAAATGTATATCCTGAGAACTGCTACAAAAGAATCCTGGGAGCTTGGAGGTCTGCATTTTAATAAACTTCTTAAAGGATCCTGTTTCATTTGTTTTTAATTTTGTTTTTCTACCAGCCAGTCTCATAACCTTCAGTGATTCCAAGATCCCTTTTCTTTATCTGCTGCTAAAGTAGATGATACTGGCCCATAGCTTTATATGGATATTTACTTCAGAAATATGCTGTAATCAGGACAATATTTTCAAAAACTCTTGAGGGTAAAATCAAGCCAGTGCTAAACATAGTCCTGTGTATCTCACTTTAGATATTTTGAAATAGTTGTAGTTACTTATATTCATATTAACTTAAAATAACTTAATTTTTAATTTTTTAACATTCTGAAGATTTCTTGTTATTAATAAATTAGAAATAGACTAAGTGTACTGTATAGCACAGGGAACTATATTTAATGTCATGTGATAAACCATAATAGAAAAAAAATGAAAAAAGTGTGTGTGTGTGTATGTATATAACTAAATCACTTTGCTTTACAGTAGAAATTACACAACTTTGCCAGTACTTCAATAAAATAAATTTTTAAAGAAAGAAATATACTCAGCATAGGAAGACAGTAAATATACTCAATTTCACTACCCAGAAATAACATATTTATTTGCAGATTTTAACATAAGATTTCCTTCTGAGAGAAAATACTTAATCTTTTTAAGCATTAATTTTCTGTACTATAAAATAGGACCTTACTGATAAACAGACAGACTTATTGTAAGGGTTAATTTTTTTTAAATGTGTGTAGTGCCCTTTGAATAGTACCTGACATGGAACATGCTCAGTAGATGTTAGCTGTCTTCATTAATAACTAGCATTAACTTTAATATTGAAGCACCAGAAAGATTCTTATTAAGATCATAATAAAGAACTCTGGATCTCATTGCTACTCAGCATTTGTTCTGGAATTTTTAGCTATGTCAGGAAAAAGAAGTATGAATAACTAGAATTAGCATTATTTGTCGATGCTAACTTTCTTCTTGGAATTGAGAATTCACTGAAAAACCTAAAACTAATAAAGTACTTAAATTAGAGGTAGAATGTAGAGAATAAGTACAAAAATCAATAGATGTCCTAAAATCTAACCCACTGATTATTAATGAGGATAAAAAAAGATGTTCACAATGATGAGAAATAGAAATTATATAGAAAATATAAAGACTGTCTTAAAAATAAGCATGCAAATATACCTAGACATGTTTTAAAAATAAAAATAATGAGATAGGGCTTACCTCTTAATAAAGTATACATAAAATAAAGCAGTGCAGGAATAAATTTAGAGATGAATGGAGCAAAAGTCAGAAATAGATCCAAGTATAAATAAATAATTAATATATGATAAGGATGCTGTTTTTAAATTAGTGGGGAAAGACTTGTTGTCCAGTAAACGATGTTGTTAACAGATAACTGTCTGATCATTTGGAATGTTAACTCCAGAATCCTTCCCTCATACTTCAGACTAAAATAAGTTTTAAATATATTAAATTTTTTTTTTTAATTTGCAAGAAACAATGAGAGGAGGCCTGGGGTTCTGCATTTTAATTTCACCAACTAAATTTCTGAAATTTATCGAATTTTAACACCTAGAATTTTCTTGTAACTGGGAAGGTAAGAATGAAGATAACCTGAGGGAGTGTGTTTATAATTATAAGAGCTTTTGAGTTTTGTAAGTTTTCATGTATGCTAAGTCACTTCAGTTGTATCTTAACTCTGCGACCCTAGGACTGTATAGCCTGCCAGGCTCCTCTGTCTATGGGATTCTCCAGACAAGAATACTAGAGTGGATTGCCATGCCCTTCTCTAGGGGATCTTCCCAACCCAGGGATTGAGCCCCGTGTTTCTTATATCTCCTGCATTGGCAGGCGGGTTTTTCACCACTAACACTACCTGGGAAGCCCCTTGTAAATTTATATAAGACCATTTAATGTACTATCATAAAATTACCTACAAACAGGGACTTCCCTGGTGGTTCGGTGGTTAAGAATCTGTATAATATTGCAGGGCACACAGGTTCAGTCCTTGGTCAGGAAACTAGGAGCCCACATGCTATGGAGCAGCTAAGCCTGTGTGCTACAAGAGTCTGCCACAGGGTCCCACATACGCGTTGGAGATCCAGCATGCCTCAGCTAAGACCTCATGTGACTAAATAAACAAATAGAGATTAAAGATAGAATTACCTAGATAACAAGCTTTTCAAAAAACATAACACCTGTTCAATAAATAAATCGCCTTTTTTTAACAAATAAATACTTCTATAATGTGATAAGTAATTACAGAAATTTTTCTCTTAGGTCCAAACTTATATAAACTTGCACCATGATTTCCCATTATAATTAATGGGGAAATTACAGTGTTTCTGTTAATGGCAGACTGAACTGTGACATTAATGCAATGCTGGAAATGGTGACACATTTGTCATTGCATGCTTTAGGTAACCATATGCCAGGGGAGGATACTGATAAGCAATCCCTGAAGCACCTGGTGCACAACCACCAGTGTGCTATCAGCACTCAGCCAGGTCACCAGCTTGGAGCCTGTGCATATAGCACAGGTGGATAGTAATTTGCAGCATATTTGGGGAGTTTGTTTTCTTTTACATAAAAGTGAGCACAATTTTTTAAAGCAAAACCTATTTTGGTACAATAGCACGTGATGTGAGAGCACCTTAAGCAGAGATTTACAGCGAACATAGGGGACAAAAAGTGTGATGGGAGCACCCAGTGTTACATTCTTCTGTTCATACTGTGACCAGGCTCTGACCTAATAAAAGGAAAAATGGAATTTGTAAGTATAAAACCCATATTTAGCAAAAACTTGCCTAGAGATCATTCAAATAGCAAAGATTGAGTATGGTTATTGTGTAATTATCTGAAGGTTTTATTTGTTACTGGTCTTTTAGTATTAATTACCCAAGCCCCTAAGGTATTGAAGAACTTCCTTGTACTTTCTAGTTCTTCACTTCCTTTATAATACTTATAAGTGTATCACTTGAGACATATCTTCAGAAAACACTAAAAAAGTTAAAGCCTCTGAAAATAATGACTGAAGTGTCAATATAATCTTGTGATTGTGGTTGTTGGAGAAAGCCTACATCTGATCTGCCTAAATGCTCTTTGATAATATTCATGGGGAATTTTGTTTCATCAGCAATTTAAAAAAAATAAAAGTTAAACCTTATTCTACTAAGTAGACATACAGATTCAGTTTTCAGAGTTTTTTGTTTGTTTGGGTGGGGTTTATTTTTACTTTTTTTTTTCTTTCTTTTTTTTATAGTAGTTAAGTGACCAGCCCACTAAAGATAAACAATTTTAAGCTCTGGTCTAGTGAGTAGATGGATTCAGATTATGCAAAGGATTTGAATTGGTGGAAATAAAGCTCTAGATGTTTTTTTTTAGGGTCTAGATTATTTTGAAACCCCCAAAGGTTAGGGTAGTTTCTTATCTTTTGGTTACGTTTTAGGTCGTTCAAGCCCTCAGTTAGACCCTTTGAGAAAAAGCCCAACCATGGAACAAGCAGTACAGACCGCCTCGGCCCACTTACCTGCTCCAGCACCTGTTGGGAGAAGGAGCCCTGTATCAACCAGGCCTTTACCATCTACCAGCCAAAAACCAATAGAGAATCAAGAGCACAGGCGAGGTAGAACTTTAGCTGTTTACTATTTCTTAATTGACCGGTCAGCATCTTCCATTCAACTTATTTTCATTAAAAAGATTTACTTTATGTGAAATGATCCTAGAAGGTTTAAACTGAACTTGAGAGAATGTTTGTTCAGTCTTTCAAATTCTACTCAAAGTAGTGATGGTGGTGGGGTTATATGGATATTTGGTTTTGTTCTGGGTTTGTTTGTTTTTCCATTTCTGACTTTACAGAAGTTTTTGATTATGTGTCCCAAGTTGACTGTCACTTTCTGTATATTCTATAGTTGAAGTACATAAAGTCTCAAGACCAGAAAATGAGCAACTCAGAAATGATAGCAAGAGACAAATAGGTAAGTTGTTACTCGGATATGAAAGTCTAATCCTGTGCTCTTCAATTGAACATTTGAAATGTATATGATGTATAATTACTATTTTTAAAAAAGAAGAGCAAGGTTTGGTAGCTATACAGAAGTAGAACAGGAGAGTTTCATTGTGTTATCTTGATTATGGTGCTGGTGCTGTGGATCTGTGTATGTAGCAAAAGGTCATAAAACTGTATGTAAAGACATACCAAAAAACGAGTACATGCAAAACTATTGAGATCTTAGTGTAGTTCTTCCCAGTTTTTGATAATGTACAATAGATAATCAAGATGTTACTGTTGGAGGGGAAGCTGGGTGATGGGCACTCTGTACTACTTTTTCCATTTTTTAAGCTAATTATTTCAAAAGATTTTTTTTTTTAAATCATCATTACATGTCTGGAATAAAACCTACTTGATGGTAAGCAATTGTCTTTTAATATATTCTTAAATATTTGCTAGTGAGATTTGTATACTTTTATATTTTATATTGTTTAATGGCTTTCTCTTTTGTACTGTCTTTTGTATTTTTTTATGTTTTTGTGTCAGTTTCATGTTAGCATTATAAAATTGCTTTCTTTGTTTTCTATGCTTTTAAAAATGGAATCAGGAATTCACTGGTGGTCCATGGGTTAGGACCTGGCGCTTTCACTGCCATGGCCTGGATTCAATCCCTCTTCTGGGAACTTAAATCCTTAAGCTATATGGTGCAGCCAAAAAGAAAAGAAAAAAGAATGGAATCATTGGGAACTGTGTTTAATATCCTGTGATAAACCATAATGGGAAAAAAATATATATATATATATCTGAATCACTTTGCTATTATATAGCAGAAATGAACATAGCATTGTAAATCAACTATATTTCAGTAAAATTAAATTTTTTAAGAAATAATGAAATTATCTGTACCTTAAAAATTTGAGTTTTCTCATTAAAATTAAGTCCTTTTTTTTCTTTGGTAGTAATTGTTAAAGAAGTTTAACTTTCTTTCAAAATTATTGACTTAATACTTGTATACTTGATCTTTTTGGTAATCTGTAATATACCCCAAATCCATCTGTTTTATTATTTTCATATTCATTAGAGAATAAATTATGATTTAAAACTCTTCCAAGTTAAAAAAAAGCAGTGTGTGATAAGTTAATTACATAATAATTGGGAGATAATCTTTAGGTTTAGAAAGCTAGAAAACACTTTCTTCTGTACCTTTTTTTATGTGTTTTTATTTATGCTGTGTGCTATAGAATTAACGGAGGTTGGGGTTTGGTTTTACTGTGTTTCACTTTTTTTTTAATTTGCAAAAAAGAACTCTCTTCTCAAGATAAAATAATTACTATGCGTCCATCATTCAAAAATCATGGTAGTGAAATAAAATCATGGTAGTAAAGTAGTGTTCACTTTGGCAACACATATACTAATATTGGAACAATACATAGAAGATTAGCATGGCTTCTGCACAAGGATAACATGCAAATTCATGAAGCATTTCATATTTTAATATAAAAGGAATGTGTGTGTCTGTCTATCTGAATCAGTTTGCTATACATCAGAAACTAATACAACATTATGAATCAACTATACTTGAGTTACAAAAATAAATAGGGAATTCCCTGGCAGTCCAATGGTTAGGACTCTGCACTCTCACTGCCGCAGACTCAAGTTCAGTCCCTGCTGAGGGAACTGGTCCCACAAGCCATGCAGCACAGCCAAATAAGCAAGCAAATAAATAAACCATGTCAAACAATAAATAAAAGTACCTTTCGCTACCTTTCAAAATTTAAAACAGAAATATCATGTTGTACTTGCTGGTTCATGGCCAAGACATTTTCAGTAGTAAAGCTGAATATTTAAACATCCTGCCTGTCCAGATTTAAGTGTCTGGCTATACTGCTATGGGTTTTTGTGGTTTGTTTTCTCAAACTTGGACAATTTGCAAAATTTTATTTAGAGACCAGTGAGCACAGAGATGTCTATTACTCTGTAGTCATTATGTTTTAAACATTTCACATAATTATAATCATTGAATTCATCCTGCTTTGTGCTCTGTATTTTTCTGTTGAAAGTGAAAAAAGTGAAAGTCACTCAGCCATGTCCAACTCTTTGTGACCCAGTGGACTGTAGCCCACCACACTCCTGTGTCCTCAGTATTTTCTGGGCAATAATACTGAAATGGGTTGTCATTCCCTTCTCCAGGGGATCTTCCCAACCCAGGGATCAAACCCAGGTTTCCTGCACTGCAGGCAGAGTCTTTACCTTCTAAGTCACCAGGGTGGCTTAGAGCCCATATTTTTCTGTTAACTCATCAAATACTATCCCATGTTTCTCTTATAGTTTTTTTTTTCTTAACTGTTCCTCTTATTTGGATTCTCAAATTTTCATTGTAATTTATGCTACTTTGGTATTCCTTTACCATGCCTCATAAATCTTATTGTATTAAATTGTAGAGAAAGGATAGATACAGGAAGAATAATATGAATCTCTTTGAATAATATGGATCTATTTAGAGAGAGACAGTAAAGGTGAAACAGGAAGTGGTTGGAGGGGTTGAGATGTGGTGCTTTTTGTCTTTTGAGTTATCTCGCAGTTTGTGCTAATGTGCTCATTTATTTTTCTCCCTGTAAATCTTGGTTTCTATGATCATTTCCATAAAAGGCCTCCTAAATTTTGAGAACCCAGTATACATTTGACACTTCATAGGTATTAGGGATGTAAGCAGAACAAAGTAATGTAGTGCAGAAATCTCCCAAAGTGTTTGTTTGTGTACTGTATCAGCCATAACTTAATTGGTGGAGAATCTACCTGTAATATGGGAGACCCAGGTTCAATCACTGGGTCAGGAAGATCCCCTCAAGAAGGAAATGGCAACCCACTCCAGTATTCTTTCCTGGAGAACCCCATGGACAGAGGAGCCTGGTGGACTGCAGTCCATGGGGTTGCAAGAGTCGGACACGACTTAGCAGCTAAACCACTGCTACCATACTGTATCAGCAGCATGTTTGAATACAGACCCCATAGGTATAAATTTCATTAAGGACATTTATAAATTTCATATTTATAAATTTTATGTGCAGTCTTCTCAGTCTAGGGAGGCATCCCTGGTAGCTCAGCTGGTAAAGAATCCACCAGCAATGTAGGGGACCCCAGTTCAACTCCTGGGTTGGGAAAATCCACTGGAGAAGTGATAGGCTTCCCACTTCAGCATTCTTGGGCTTCCTTCTTTACCAGCTCAGCTGGTAAAGAATTATCCTGCAATGCGGGGAACCTGCATTCGATCCTTGGGTTGGGAAGATCCCCTGGAGAAGGGAACAACTACCCATTCCATTATTCTGGCCTGGAGAATTCCATGGACGGTATAGTCCATGGGATTGCACAGAGTTGGCTGTGACCGAGCGACTTTCACTTTCTTCTCAGTCTACTACGTCTTAAATGTTTGTGAAACTTCATTTCTTTTTTATATTAAAAAAATACAAATATAGTCAGGTGTATAGAGACATAAGCATTTCTGTTGTTGACCATAAAGACCATAATAATAGCTTCTGCTTTAAACCAGCTTATTCTTTATTAATATAGTTCCAGGTGCTCCTTCAGCTCCAAGGAGAGGGCGTGGGGGTCATCGAGGTGGCAGAGGAAGATTTGGTATTCGACGAGATGGTCCAATGAAATTTGAGAAAGACTTTGACTTTGAAAGTGCAAATGCACAATTTAACAAGGAGGAAATTGACAGAGAGTTTCATAATAAACTTAAATTGAAAGGTGGGTTTTTATTTTTCTCCTCAGAGAATACTCTTTTCTGACCATGTGAATTATGGATATTTAGGCCAAATCTTAACTTATATGGTATCTGCTTTTTTTTATTAGAAGATAAACTTGAGAAACAGGAGAAGCCTGTCAACGGTGAAGATAAAGGAGACTCAGGAGTTGATACCCAAAACAGTGAAGGAAATGCAGATGAAGAAGATCCACTTGGACCTAATTGCTATTATGACAAAACTAAATCCTTCTTTGATAATATTTCTTGTGATGATAATAGGTACAGTCTTTTAAGCTGCTTTTATGCAATTAGGAGGTTGAAGTGTGAAATGATTCCTGATAAATTCACAAAGTGAAATGGATACTTAAAAGTCCCTAGGGACTTTCCTGATGGTCCAGTGGTTAAGGATCCTTGCTTCCCAGTGGGCACAGATTTGATTCCTGATTGGAGAACTAAGATCCCACTTGCTATGTGGTGCAACCCCCCAAAAAAATCTAATGACTACAATTTTTTAATGTTTTGACAAAAGAAAATAACTTATACTAAAATTTTAAATGACATTACTTTTGGAAAAGAAGAAATAATCATATATTTTTGTTTGGGGATGCATTCACATTCGAAAATTAGTAATTAAAATAGAAGCATTCATCTAACATCTAAACACCTTTTACTTTACCCCTCTACAATGTAGTTCAGTTGAAGGTTGCTGATGTAGTAAAACTCTGCTCTATTGCAGTAAATATGAATCCAAAAGCTGGTTAATTAAAGGACTCAGCATAACTAGAGTTCCAGAGCTTCTGCTGCCTGGTTCAGGTCGTCTTTCTGCTGACTGCATTTTGGTGCCACCCAGTGGTGGTTGTCTGCTTCAGTTTAAACATGGTTGGTGATGATGCTGAATCTGATTGGGCTGTAGGCCAGCAGCAGCAATTCAGAAGCTTTAGGCATCAGGTCCAGAGGTTGGACCAGGAGCCTAGTAGGATCTTGGGAATCAACCCTTTATCTCCTCCCATACTGAGGCAGGGTTTGCTTTCCCTTTCTTCCTTTGAGGCTGATTGGAGGGTAGAGTCAACTGCCAGTCCCGTTTATTTAGACTATTCAGTTTCTTTGTATCATCAGCTGCATTTGCAATAAACAATACCAGTCATATTTTCACATGAAGTGTAACAGAATATAATAGGAATATATTGCCATGGACAGCTTGTGATGACTTAGATTAGTTACTTTTGTGGGGTTTTTTGTTTGTTTTTTGTGGGTTTTTTGATACTTAGGAATTACTTAGGCTCAGTTTGGAAATTAAGTGCTACATAGTCTTGCTGGCAAATATTCCTTAAAAGTTTATACACTCCAAAAAAAAAAAAACTTCATATACTAAAGATTATTTGTCCTCATAATAGAGAACGGAGACCAACCTGGGCTGAAGAGAGAAGATTAAATGCAGAAACATTTGGAATCCCGCTTCGTCCAAACCGTGGCCGTGGAGGGTACAGAGGCAGAGGGGGTCTTGGTTTCCGTGGTGGCCGAGGACGTGGTAGTGGCCGAGGTGGTACCTTCACCACTCCTCGAGGATTTCGTGGTGGATTCAGAGGAGGTCGTGGGGGCAGGGAGTTTGCAGATTTTGAGTATAGGGTAAGTATTATTACATGCTTTGGGGTTGGCTTGCAGTTATATGAAACTCAAAATGTTTTAAATTTTTATCTATTGGGAGTGAGTAGTTCTAGGGCATTTGTGTAACTTCCATTTGACTTCTCAGTGGAGGATATACTTGATTATGATATTTATATAATTTTAAGGAGCAGAAACTTCTTGGCTAATGGATCTAATTTTTTTAACTATTTTCTTTTCAATTGGAGGAAGTGAGAGAAATATATTTTTATCTTCTGTTATAGAACCGTTGTTTCATATTTCATGGACTGGTAAAATTTCTTCCAAAAAACTGTTAGAGACTGACTTAATTTCTTTTTCTTAAAAAGTTTTGTTGTTGAAGGCACAGGGGATCACTAAAAGATATTACACAATATAAAAAAAGGACCATATTATATCACCTTTATTTCATGTTACAAAGTATGCTTTAATACCAGAAGAATCTAGGAAGAACATATTCCAGAATGGAAGACAAACCTGTGCATTTTATACAGCTAACGTCGTATTTTGTGTGTACAAATGAGGAAATGAGTAAAGAGATATTAAATAAACTTGCCCAAGGTTAGCTAATAAGTGATGATGCTGGATCTTGAACCTAGTATATTTGTTCCTCAGTCCATGATCTTAATTAGTTTTGTGGAAAACTAAACTACATTTTCCCTGTTTTTTTATTTTACCGTGGTCTTAAAAATATCATATTGGCATATGGAAACTGCTGCCTGAAATTTCTGTAGCTCTGTATAGTATGTATATATGTGTAGTTTATTTTCTAAATTGAAGTATAGTTAATTTACAATGTTAGTTTCTGGTGTGTAGCAAAGTCATTCAGTTATATACATATATACACATACACACACATATACACAGTCTTTTTCATATTCCACATATACACAGTCTTTTTCATATTCTTTCCCATTATGGTTTATTATAGGATATTGAATATCTTTTCCTGTGCTATACAGTAGGACCTTGTATAAAAAATATATGTATAATTTATTTAAAGGAGTCCTTAAGTCAATGTTACTATCCTAGTTATTGACTTTAGGGATAGTGGAGAGGAAAAGTATATAATAAGGATCAAAATCCCATCATAAAGAAGTCTATTAGGGATTACAGAAGGCAGCTAGAAACTTAAAAGACCCACTATCAGGAATTTCACTCTTCTATATTTAAAACTGGTCATTGTTGAGATTCCTCTTGAAGGATCATTAATTGTGACTTTTGGATCTGTTCTGTTATTTTTAATGCTCTTGATACTGTATCATCACAACCAAAACTGCTGAAAATTAGCCTCAGATAATTAGGTCAGGACATCCAGCCATGGTAGACACAGCCTGATATATCTGCAGGACTTTTGACTTCCAAAATAGCCATTCCAACTTGGAGACTGTGTCTTAGGAACCATGGAATGCTTCTTACTTTCCACTATTACTCCTCTTGAGGTTGCCAGTGACCTTTTGCTTAGCAAATTCAATAGCTTTTTTGCAAATATTTGCCCTTCATTTCTCTGCAGTATTTGACACTAATAACTACCCACCCAACCTGGAGTCTTTCTTCCCGGGTTTTTTTTTTTCCCCCATAAATACTTTTGATATTTTTCAAGTATGTTCCTCACCACAACCTATAAGGTACTTCATGATCTGCTTGCTTCTCCAGGTCAGAAGTCTAGTACTTTCTCTAGCTCTTGTTGCTAGTGGGACTGCAAGCCGTTTCTGTCATCCATTCCGCTACAGATACACAGAGCTTTTTGCTCTTGTTTAATTACGAGCTTATTCCTATCTCACAACTACAACCTTTTTACCCATTCCTTCTGCCTGCAGTGTTCAGTTTGCTCTATCGTGTTCATGTTTGTACTCTGTGTAGGCTTGATCTCTCTGTCTTCCTCCCTCTCTCCTCTCCTGCAGAGATTTCCCCCTCCCCTCTGTGAGCTGATCTATTCATAGCTTCTAATCAGTTTTTTAACTTGGACCTTGGACCTTGACCTACATATTTCTGTATTTACTTGCTTTGTGTCCTGTGATCAGCTTAAACTTAACCTTCCTCAGAATGACCTCATCATCTTCTCACTTGCCCATCACATCAGTTTGGTGTTCTTTTGGTCACCCTGGTGGTAGAGTATCCATGTCCGTGTCACCACATTCATTCCTTTGAGATATTTCTGCCAGTTACCACAGTAACCCACTGATTGCTCTTCAGACCTTCAGTCTGTCTTTTCCTCACTTCAGGCATATCAGCTACCTGTTGAAGAACCTATGGCAGCTCCTTGTTGAAGACCACATTGAGTCACCTTGGTTTGAGAAAAACTACATTTAAATCAGACCATGATCCTGATGAGAATTTTTGTAATCTTTGCCAGTATGGCATCGATTTAAGTTGTTAAACCTATCAGGCCCTCAGTTTTGACATTTGTGGGTAGAGAGTTGAACAGATTTATTTCAGATACACTTTTTAAAGATCATCAAAGTCTCAAAAGTTGGGGTCTTCCCAGACAGGGATTGGACCCTTGTCCCCTGCATTGGCAGACATATTCTTAACCACTGGACCACCAAGGAAGTCCTGCCTTTGTCTTTATCCATACTAGGCTATCCCTGGTAGATAGTTCAGCCTCTGCTTGGTTGTTTCCAGGAGTGAAACCTGAGTGGACCTTAGGCTGGTGATTAGAAGGTTCTAACATGACATTACACTGCTTGCTCTTTTTACCCTATGAGAGTCCCACTTGCTATATCCAGCCTTATTTCTTATTACCCTTTAAACTATCTAATTCAAATAGGTTAACTCTTAATCATCTCTTAAATGGTTGCTTGGTTACAACTAAACTTCATTCATTGACCAAATACATTGCATTTTTAGTATATGCCAAGCTCTGTGCTAGATATTGGTGGTAACAAAACACTTGGAGCCTTCTTGATATTGTAATCCAGTGGAAAGACAGACATGGCTGAAAGTCAAAGGTTTCCTTTCAGTCTTGCCTAAGGTTTGCTGTCTCCTTAGAAATTTCTCTTCCCTCCGCCTCTGCTTTCTTTCTTTTCTGACCTCCTATGGCATCTGCTTTCGTCACCACACATTTTATGTATACCCATATTCCCTGTTTCAGGTGTTTTGTTTTGTTCTGCATCACCGACTAGATGGGACCTCTTGGCATTAGTGAATATATATTTTACTTTTCTTTCCACCAGAACACCTATGCCAGCGTGGAGCCATAGTGAGCTTGAAGTAAGTATGTAGCGTGTTGATTAGAAATAAGTTACATCAGCCTTCAGTGAGGCTAAAGGTCCATCAGTGTGGATACCCATTGATTGTTCATTCCAAAGTTAAATGATCCTTCTTCTGTCTACCACTAGATCCTGGACCTTCTCAGCAGCATATTCGTTCCAAATCATCCCGTCTAGCACCTTTAAAAGTGGAAATAGTGAGAGACCAGTATTACATAAAGGAGATTTATCTTCAAAGGATTAAACTTGTTCTGAAACATCTAGTAGTACTTCTCAGAGATGAAGTGCAATGATATTTGCAGCAGCCTTCATGTAATGAATTAGCTTTTTTCTTTCTGCTTCACTGACATAAACATTATAAGTAGGTCTGGTTGTTTAATGCAAACATGGGTAAAGATGGAATCATAGGTTTTTTGTTTTTTAAGGATTCTTCAGAAATATCAGTCAAATTAGAACCTCTCCCACCCTCCTCCCAGTAGATAGTTAGGAAGCCAGGAACCCAGAGGAGTTAACTTCCTTGATCTAGATACAAGCTAATCAAGCCAAAATTCACTCCTTGACTTCTGCGTTTTCCTTAAGGATAGTGTTAGAAACATAAATTTAGGGTGAGTTTGGGCCTGTAGTGCTTTTTCTTTTCTTTATTTTTTGGGAGTGGAAGGTGAGCCTGCGCATAATAAGAGAGTAGCCCACTATTATTTTATATGCTGCTGCTAGGGAGGTTGAGCCGCCATGGTGGGTGAGATAGGTTGCCTTCCACTTGAGTCTTATGTTCTTCACAGAGGGTCCAGAGACAGGTATCGGAAATGACTCAGCATAGTACTTTCTCTCCCTTGCCCCTTTTATTTTCTCCTTTCTTTCCTGCTACCTCTCTGTCTCCCCCTCCTTCTGCCTCCTCCCTCCCTCTTTTCTTCTCTTTCTTGCTTCCTTTTTTTTTTTTTCACCTTTCAGAAAACCACAGCATTTCAACCCCTAGAAGGTCTGGATTGATCATACGGCTTTCTGAAAGGTAAAAAAAAAAAAGAAAAAAATGGGGGCATGTGAAATTTGGCCTTGGTGGGGACAACAGGATCGTCTTCAGCTTTCTTTCTGCATCAACTAATCCCATGCTCTTGGTATTCTAACTTAATAACATTGTACAAATGGTTTCTGTATAAGCAGATAAAGTTTTTCACAAAGAATGTGTGTTTCTAACAGTCAGGATAAGAATCGGCAGTAAAAATCAGCGCATGGTAGCAGCTATTCCTGAGGAAAAGAGGAGCCCTTCCCTTGGCTTATGTGTACAGGCCTTTGGTTTAGAATTAATCTCACTGGAAAACTAGAGGCTCCTTGACATTTTTATTGCTTTTTATCCCTGGTTAGTTTTTTTTTTTTTAAAAATCACAGACAGTGCTCTAGTTTTCAGAACTTGATTTCATATTTTAAATCATAATATTTAATATGTATTTAATTATATTTAATATTTCATGTTTATTTCATATTTTCATAAAAGTCCTTTTAAAATGAATTTTTCAAATCATTGCTTTCTCCTGGCTTGAAACATTGAAGAGAAATATTATTTTGCCACCTGATATTTTATTGCTTAGTAAAGATATCAAAGACTTAGGGATTTTATTAATCTTCTTCCAGTATATGTTGTCAGTTGTATTTGATGAGTTTGACTACTATGTCAAGGCTTAATTATTTTTTGAAATTATTACGACAGCACCAAAGGTAGTAGGGCATACCTGTGTTTTAACCAGGGGAACTTCTTGCTCTGATAGTACCACTGCTTTAACCTCTATTAACTGGAAAATACAGTTAGCAATAATGAGCTACTTTTGAGTGTGTAAGGTATAAAAAGTGTTTCCTGGAAATCAGTGAAACAAATTTATACGTGAAAGTTAAGAGGAGGGTTAATTTAAAGGTAATGAAAAATATACTTAAAGTAGAGAGAAATACTTATTAATAAACCCTAGTAGTTTGAAACATGAGCTAATTTTTTTTTTCCTTTTTAGAAAGACAACAAAGTTGCTGCATAGTCTACAAACAAGTCTTTAAAAATAGATGGATTTCTAGTTCTTCGTGGTCCTGAGAATTGGTTTCAGTCTTTGAGAAGAATGAAGAAGTGAATTTGCTGTATATTTGTCACCAGCACTGGGTTTTTGTTTGTTTGTTTTTCTGCTTAATTTCAGAGATACAATGCAGTTACTTTTGGGGGTGGGGGGGAAGGCTCATCTTAAAAAATGAGCATTAATTATATTTGGAATAGCAGAAGGTTAAGTAATTTCTTATGTATAGTTAAACTAAAGCAGTACTCCAGTGAAACTTATAAGTATTTTTTCATCACTGAAAGGATTTTTCTTATCACTAAATTGTATTTGGCAATTCCTGCAAGTTGCCTGCAGATAGGGCCGTGATACTGTGTTTTGAGCCACAGAAGGGTGTGTGTGTGTGTGTGTGTGTATCTGTCTGTCTGTCTGTCTGTCTATATCTTTTCTTTCCTTTTTTCTTTTTTTTCCTTTCTTTTTTTTTTTTGGAAATCCTGTAATATCCCTTTTGAGGTAGCTTATTTTGTCAATTAATTAGGGTGCTGGATGGTAGAGAATTTTGTCAGTCAACTATGTATACACAGTAAATACTGTTTCTTAGGCAAAGGTAACTTTTTTATATAGTTGTAAAATTCCATTATATCCCATTGCCAAAGAAACATTAAGAACTTTGTATAGCTGTATAAAAAGCAACTAATTTTTTAAAGAATAAACATTTTAAAGTCAGCAAACATACTGTGTCCTTGCAGAAGTTGATGTGCTGAGGAGCAGAACTGTGGGTGGGTCTTTTTTTCATAGCTTTTGAGGCTTAAGATTGTTGATTTGATTTTTTTTTTAATGTTTGGAACATAAATGAAGATTTGATACATTCATTATCTAAAAAGGATAAATTACTCATGCTTGTTGTAAGAACTTTATTTTGTAGCAAATGGCATATCACAGGATTTATCCAAATAATAGATATTTTCAGTATACAAATGTAAATAATCATAGATAAGAATGTATTAGCTGTATTTTCAAATAAGTATCCCCCCTTTTTTAAGACAATAAAACTAGGTGTCAATTAACCTGTTCTTCCTGATATGCCTGGAATTTTGTTGTGATATTTGACTCATTCCATTATATTTCAAGAGGATTCAGAGTGCTAGAAACTATTTTGGCAGCCTATGAGATACCATAACACTGGTCTTTAGGCCTGTGACCCACAAATGACTCAGTATAGAGTTCATTGCTAATGTTAAATTGTTAGTAAATCTTTTTGCTATTTTAAGCTGTAGTGGTGGGGGTGGAAATCTGGCCACTTTTGTGTTTTTATGAAGGCCATGGAATAAAGGGATCCAAAGATTTAAATATTTTTATCTATTTTGATTTTTGTTAACTTTCTCCTTAAAATAATCAGTAGTGGTAAAGATACAAAAAACTGCACTGTAGGAGAATTGAAATATTTAAAGGTGGTTGATATTTTTAATTTTAATTTTATATCTTTTGTATGGCTCTACAAGAAAATGTTTTGTAATTCAGTTTCAGTATTGAGGTCCAGTACTTAGTTTAGATGATATTGTTTAATACTGTTTGCTTGCATGTTAACAAAATCTTTTGGAGGACCCACAAATTATGATATTGACCACATTTCTGAGACATTCAGAACATCAAAGCAAGTGCTATGACAATAGCTGTGTAGACTGTCCGAGATATCCTGGGCTACTTTGAAGAAAAAAGAAAAACTGTAGATACCAATTCTACATGCTCTGAAAGTATGAATTCATGCATTTTTCAAGCCCTCTGGGTCATTGACTGGGGCATTTGGTACCCCAATAATAACTGGCAGCATGACATACCTGCAGTGCACCTTGCAATATTAAAGCAGATTTTTATTCTGAGACAGAATAAAATTATTCAATAAAAAATGTTCGTCAAAGTTCTTTCTCTTTAAACTCTAATATTCTCCTTACAATAGAAAGAAATACAGTACAAGGCATCTTTAACACATAAGGGTTTATACTCCTTAAAATTAGCAAAATTAATTTCTCTTTTCCTAGGATTTATATATTGTCGTAGGTGTTTAGGTAAAGCTAGAAGCCCATTCTCCCCCTCCTAGCATGCAGCATGCTCCTTAGTTACAATCCATGACATGAGATTAAGCCAGCCAGATACAGGCCAAACTGGCAACCTCAGGCTAGAATACATGCTCTACAAGCAGGCAGGTGCAAAAGAGGGAAAAGGGGAGGGCTGAGCCCTCCAAACTTGTCTTTGGAGAGACCATTTCTCCCTCCAAAAGCACAACTTGATGTGAGGGCTAGCAAGAGAGGTCAGGTATGTTCATTCAACTCACTGGCTCTTAATCAGGGGTGAACTGACATTGGGGAGCATTTGGAAATGTGAAAGCAGATGTTCTGGTTATCACAATGATTTGAATGATTTGAGACACCACTGACTTTTAAAGAGTAAGCTCCAGGATGGTAAATATCCTGTTCTCTGCTGGACGGTGTCCCTTAATCAATTATCCAGTCCAAAGTGCAGCAGTGTCCCTTCCATTTACAGAAATACTAAAGTCCCTCTGCATGGAAAGGCAATGAGTGGGGAATCCCCCCGCCCCCAGATTTAAAAAAAAAAACTTTACTAAAGAATCTATATGGTATGTGAAAGGAAAAGAACCTTACTTTCAGGAATACTGTCAGCATGTTGAAAACTGGTTATCACATTAGGAGTTACCAATTCATCCTCTTCTCCATCAGTTGTTCATGAATCTCTTACCAGAATCAGCTGAGGAGCATTTTTTAAAGTACAAACTGCCATGCCCCACAGTTGGCGTGTGTGATTTTAAAGTTCTGCTGTGAAAACTGGCAACTAAAATCCCACGGTACTTCTGATGAGCCAGGTTTAGAAAGCCAATTTTATTTTATTTTTTTTATTTTTATTTTTTTCCATTTATTTTTATTAGCTGGAGGCTAATTACTTTACAGCATTGCAGTGGTTTTTGTCATACATTGAATTAGCCATGGATTTACATGTATTCCCCATCCTGATCCCCCCTCCCACCTCCCTCTCCACCC